GGAAACTAAATGAGTCAAACAGAAAGCTGCTGTTAACACCCGTTCCTAACATCTGTCCGTTAGCCGTCAACAAGCTGGATCCATTTGCATCTCGTTTGTTTTTCCACTTTGGTTCGGCTAAACATGAAAACTCCTTTCCTACAGAGAGGAATGAGTACAGGAGCAGGATGACGTGGATTTGATTTACTGCAGAGATTATCTGACAGGCAACTCCCGGTTAATTATTTAGCACCGTAAATGACGTGAATTTGCACGTCATTTACATGAAGTTTATCTGTTATTGTGCAATAATTATGGTTGTTTTAGTACATTTTATCAACTGAGATGTTAAAACAGAACCAAGAGGTTAATGTTTCTGGAGAGAAGATTTGTTAAATGGTTAACCACCACCTGTTGGTGACAATCCACCTCTTCAGTCAGTCTGCAGCACAAAAAACAGACAACTTCAAAGTTTAATCTATAAAAACAGAACCTAAAAATAATTAGAAGTTTAAAAGAACAAATGATTAAAAACAAAAATTAGACAAAATATAAATGAAGCAGCAGATTTGTAAAGGTTAGGAATCAAAGCTCAAATAACATCATGGAGCAAAAAACTATTTGCTGCTCCAAAAAAATCACATAAAATTACAGCAGGGACTACATTTTAATTGGTCAAGAATTTGAATGCAAGTAATCGCTTTTTTCTGTGAATAAAAGTTCTAGCAGGAACCTTTTTATTCTCATGTTTCTGGTACGCCCATAAATAATACACACAGACAGCAGCGTCTGCTTGTAATGATCTGATTGGACCATGGAAAAGATTATTGTTGTGCTAAAGGGAGTCTGGAAAGATGAACTTTAAAATGTTAAAAATGTTGCTGACTTTGTCAAATATATAGTTTTGATTAAAATGTGATTAATTAATTCCAAACACTGCAATTAACTAATAAAAATTAATAAAAAGTCTGAAGCTTAACAATTCTTCCTGTTGCAGCGTTTCCTGGCCGTCCTCCGTTTACTGATGAATCTAATTTTACATTTATTTAAATTTATTTGAATTTAAAAGTAAAAGCTGTTTTCTAATCTGCTGCAGCAGCTTCGTGTTGGACATGATGTCAGGAGGAAATGAATTAAAAACGAAGCTGCAGTCACGATTTATTCAAATGGGAATTTCCTCTCATTGACTCTGATTGGCTCCTGGGTTCTGACTGGATGTTGTGGGTCGGAACCGCTCTGACCCGGTGTGTTGGTGCGTCCCCAGAGGCGGAGCGGCAGTGGACCGGGCCGTTCTGCTTCGTCCAGGCTGCGGACCCCCAGCTGGGCCTGATGAAGTCGTGGCGGATCGGCGACAAGGTGGGCGGCGGCGATGAGTGGGAGGAGGAAGTGGTGCTCACCAAGCAGGCGGTGGCGGGGGTCAACCAGCTGCGGCCCCGGCCCCGCTTCATGGTGCTGTGTGGGGACCTGGTCAACGCCATGCCGGGTAGGAGGCTTTAACTAGGCCACTTCAGCTATTTGTGTTTAATGACCAATCACAGTCCAGCAGTTACGTGTCACATTTATTACATTTTACAATGAAAATCTTAAAATCATTTGTTTCTTTCCATCATGTTATAAAGTCAAACCTGCAGTGT